AACACTCAAACACGAGGTGTTCACTATGACCAGGTATATACCCCGGTGGGTAAACCTACTACCCTGAGAGGTTCCCTTGGGATGGCAGCATCTTCGGGGTTTCACATCCATCATATGGATGTGACCACTGCCTATCTCCATGGGATCTTGAAGGAGGAGCTTTACATGAGGCAGCCCCCTGGTTTTGATGATGGGTCCGGCAGGGTTTGCCGACTCAGAAAGTCAATCTATGGGCTAAAGCAAGCTCCAAGGCAGTGGTACCTCAAGTTTGATGAGGCGCTGATGGATTTTGGTTTTGAGAGGTCGGAGTGTGACCCCGCCTTGTACCACTTGGTGAGGCGTGAGGGCAGGTTGTCCCTTTACCTCTATGTGGATGACATTCTGCTCTTGTCTTCGAGCATGGTCTTGCTGGACGAGGTCAAGGGTCTCTTGTCCTCTCGTTTCCGCATGAAGGATTTGGGGGAGTTTAAGTACTATTTGGAGGTGCAAATTGAGCGTGATGAGAGTGGCATCTTGATTCATCAGGAGAGGTACATTCTCAACATGCTTGAGTCCTTTGGCCTTTCTGAGGCTAACCCCGTGCGTACCCCTCTCCCTACAGGATTCGACGTGCATGCACAAGCTGAGGAGCCCTTGCTGAGAGATGAGCTGGTCCAGCTCTATCAAAGCATTGTGGGGTCTCTCATGTATGCAAGCACGACCACACAGCCACAAATCGCTTATGCAGTGTTACAGCTGTCCAAGGTGGTGTCTTGTCCCAAGGCATTTCACCTGCAGGCTGCTAAGAGAGTGCTAAGGTATCTGAAAGGTTGTGTCAAGTCAGGTATCTTCTACCCCGCACACAGCAAGCCTCAGGTTGAGTTGGTGGGCTTTAGTGATGCTGATTATGCTGGAGATTCAGCTGATCGCAAGAGACACATCGGCTATGTTTATTGCCTCAATGGTGCAGCCATCTCTTGGCAGAGCAAGAGGCAGCCGGTGGTTGCATTGTCCACCACTGAGAGTGAGTACATCAGTCTGTGTCAGTGCATTCAGGAGGGTGTGTGGCTGAAGCGTTTGTTTGGGGAGTTTGGGCATGAGTTTGCTGGTGGTGTGCCTGTGTTTGTGGACAACCAGTCTGCCATTGCACTTGCACAAAATGCATGCTTGCATGGCCGCACCAAGCACATGCAGGTTCGGTGGCATTTCATCAGGGAGATGGTGGCAAGCGGCGAGGTGATCCTCCGATGGTGCCCAACCAACCGTCAAGCAGCAGACATACTCACCAAACCCCTTCCTTTTGAGCGGCATGGTGTGTGCATGTCCTTGATGGGGATGCAGCCCCATGTTGGCATGGTGCCTGAGCAGGATGTGGGAGGGCTGGTGCTTCTCTGCCTTGACGACATCATGCTGTGGATGGCGCCCCTCCCTGGGCAAGGGGGAGTGGAGTGAAGGATTTTGCCCAGTGGTGTTCAGCCACCTCCAGCACGAGCAAGGGGGAGTGTTGATTGTGTAGGTGGCTGTGGTACTTTGCTCTAGCTGGTTGTGGGCTAAGGGCTTGGGCAAAATATGATTGCTAGACTTGTTGCGGGCTGGATTTGATCTCGCACCCAACAAGCACCAACAAACCTTTGTTACCGACTACAACACCTTTGGTGTTGCTAGTTTGGCATTTTAGGTTGTTGGGGATTGTTGTAGGGCGAGGGTTGGGATGGTAGGGTTTGTCAAACTCGTCACTTTTCAGATCTGGACTCTTGCTTAAGCCATTCCTAGATCTATTCCATGGCTGCTAAGTAATACCGCCAGGATACCCCGTCGCACAAAAATCGCGATAGCGATCGGCCTAGATCTTGGTTGAAAGCGTGCTTTACCATTCTGAAAAGTAGAGATTAAGACCTTTCCCTCGCGTACCTATTCATATTTTTAGGTTACGTGAGCTGCACGCAATGGTTCGCCGAAGTCGGCAGACTTAATCTCTTGTTACGCTCTCCAGATTCGCGCGCTTTCCATCATGGTTCGCGGGGGTTTCAGTAGATTCAGCGGCTGGTCTTGTTGCCGAGCCTCCCTTTGTTTGTAGGCCAGAGGCTGGAGGTGGAGTAGGAGTAGTGCCGGGAGAGCCGTTAGAGGAGCTTCTCTCCTTCTGTGTTGCCATGTTTTCTGTTGTTGTGGGAGTTTAAACAGAATGGAGTTTTGCCCTGTCTGCTCTCATACCATGTTGGGCTGAGAAAAGCCCTTAGGATCTTTCAGGGCTAGAACTCCTGATAAAGGTATTGTAATTGCGGAAGCGTTTAATGAAGTGTTTGAACCACCTTGCGCTAGTATGTGAGGGCAAGATAGATTGATTATAGAAAGAAAGCACAAGCTTTTATAAGATTACAAGAGAATACGAAAGGTTTAACTAACTGCTTATTTGTAACTGCAATTGTAACTGCTGCTGTTGCGGTTCGATACAGTGCGACTCGGGCAACTGCTCAATATCGAGACAGTTGGTTGTCCTTGCTGTCGCGCTGTATTTGTCGAGTCAAAGGTCGCTGACCTTTGACCTTCGCGTAACCTCCGGCTGTTACCTTTCTGTCAACCTCCTCGGTTGACTCGCTGTTGTTGCGCAGTCGTTTACAGTTCGATGTTGCGACACACAAGAAGCGTTAAATCATTTGTTTCCAACATTGCGCAGGTGCCAGGTAGAAAACGTGTCGTCGGTTTCGCCATGTGCTTACCGTCGACCGCGTGATGACGTATCGCAGGTTGAAGTTCGCCGAAACCTCATGGGTGAATTTCGCACGCCTCTGCAGAGTTTCGCACACCTCTGCAAATTTGGTCGACCAGCTCGACATTCCTCGGCCGAACAGCGTTCGCCGAGCAGAGCTCCTCAACCAAAACTCTTCGACCAGCAGAGCCTGCTTGACCGCAACTTCCGTCGAACTGCAGAAGCCCACTTCGTGGACCAATCCGTCGCGAACTTCTCGTCGACGGCGAGATCGGCTCAGCCTTTCTCTTCGAAACTCCCCTGCCGCGCTGACGCTTGGGCACCCCTCGCACTAGGTCTACCTAGAAGACTAATGGATAGAATACAAGGAGAAATTTCCATCTGCGTGCACCCAACACATAGCACGCAAGTCACCGCACCAGCCGTGCAGAAGGGCACGGCACCTACTAGTGCACCTCGTCATCCCCATCGCCAACGTCGACCAGACGCACTTGGCCAATTGCGATGAAGCACCGGTTGAAAGCCGGAAAATGCATCGCCTCCGTCAGAAAGTCTGCCGGCTGCTCAGAGGTCGGGATGTACTACAGAGCAATCTTCCCGCGCTGCACCATATGCTGTAGCCATGCGTAGCATCGCTCCATGTGCTTGAGGTTGCCCTTGAGCCCCAAGCCCTCTGCGACTTTGATTGCCGACTAGTTGTCTACGTGCAGCACAGTCGGCTTCCTTGCATCGAGCAGTCGAAACGACGGCGGGCCTCCTTGCTGGCTTCCGTGGCCGCGACGTACTCCGACTCGGTCGACGAGAGCGTCGCGCACTTGATGCTCAGGCTCGACCAGGAGACTGCAGCCCCTCCGAAGACGAATACGTAGCCGCCCGTGCTCTCCGATTCTGCTTGTCACCAGCGTCGTCGACATCTGCATAGCCGACCAGACACAGCGACTCTGGTCCGCTGCCGAACTCCAGAGCGGTGTCACGGTCCAGACAGCGGTCGACCTTACGCCATTGGTTATCGCTCCGCACTGTCAAGCCGGATCCAAGCTTGCTACAAGTTAATGCAATGTCCGACCTCGTCGTCGCCGCCGCGAACTGCAGCGAACCGACCTTCTGCCGATACTCCGCTTCCTCGCGCAACTGGTACTCCTCGTTGGCGAACATCAGCTCTGCGTAGGTATCGACAGAGACCGACGTCTTCGGCACTCACCCAGTCTGCTCCTCGTTAATGAACCGCTGACGCAGCTTGTTGACGTACGACTGCTGGTGCAGCCACAGCTTCCGTCATCGTGGTGCATCGAGGCGTGCCAAGGCGTTCCGCACCACGTCCATGCCTAGTAGGTTCGGACCTAACTTTGGTTCTGAACCTAACTCCATGCCTAGTAGGTTCGGACACAACAAACAAAAATCAGTTCCCCTGGCACCCCTCACTGCACGCCTTTTCATTTTCTGCACCCCGCCAACCAATAGCAGTCAATCACCTACCAGCAACTGCAGAACATTTGTGGTACTTGAGGCCTTGGATTTAAAATCAAGGACACATGGAAAAATCACGCGACTCGACGGTTTTTGGATTTGTGTCAATCCGGTCGACCACTCGTGCACCACGTCAGCACTATTTCGAATTCCAAAACTCCGATCGACCGACCCTTTTTCTACACTTGCAAGCACGAATTGGTCACCCGGCCGCAAGTATTACTACTGCGTTAGGGTTTCTCGAAATTCGTAGGTTTGTGGGTGGTAGAGTCTGTTGCGTTTTGCAGAGTAAGATTTCACGTGTCAGTAGGTGCGATATGCCTACAATGATTACGGGCATCTGTTGGCCTCAGCAAGTTGAACGTGCCAGTGCAATGCCCTCTGATGATATTGTGGGCGTTTTTCCCCACTACTCACGGTTGTCAGATCAACCACGAATAACACAGCAGGAACGCTTCACGAGCAATCACGATGGTTTAGGACGCATGCACGACGGTTTCAGAGTGGTTTCGATCCTTCCTTACCAAGGATCGACTACCTCTGATCGAGTCACATAGGCTCTTTGACAGTTTCTTCCCGCGTTAGGGATTAGGTCCATGTGGTTAGGGCAATGGCGTCTCTGCCCGGGCTGCAAGCCCTCCGCGCCATGCATTCTGTGAGCGATTTCGATCCACGTTTACAAGCGCCCAACGACAACACACCACTAGCGCTAGGCCACCTCTACTCATCACGAGATAAATGTTTTGAGGCCATGCAGCAGTACGCGCTCTACCATCGGTTTGGCTATCATGTTCTGATGACGAAGCGGCGTGCGGTTGTAGTGGGCTGTAAAGCGACTGCAGATGGAATGCTTCCACCATGCCTATGGTGTTGCGCATACGCGGTGGATCGTGAAACGGGATACTGGCGCATTACGTCCCTCGTTCCGCCCGAGGCTCATACGTGTAAGATGGAGTGGTGGCATGAATATGCGCAGGGGATTGCGAACAAGTTACCAGTGATGCTGCGAGCTTATGGCAACATGGTTCGCGCCGAACCCTTCGTGCCGCCAATCCAGCTGATGCAACTCATGGAGGGATTAGGGGGGTGGGAAATCAACTACTGGCAGGCCTGGCGACTGCGAGAGTACACCATCAGGGAGAAATACGGCGACTGGAAGGAGTCTTTCCGCCAGGTTCCATGGCTTGTGGACCGCTTCAAAGTTATTGATCCAGGGGTGAAAGTGCATCTAGACACCCTTGGTGGATGCTTTCACCGCTTCTTTGTCCGTCCATCTGCAGCCGTTCGTGCACTTCGATTCTGCTGCCCAGTCATTGCGTTTGACGGGACTCATCTTATCAGCGTGCAGAAGGCAGTGCTGCTGGTCGCGGTCACGCTCGATGGAAACCAGAAGGTCTTGCTGCTAGCTTGGGGTCTAGTGGAATCGGAGAACAAGGAGGCTTGGTCGTGGTTTCTCAGGCATTTGATCGATGGCTTTCCAGAATGGACGCATCGCGAGAACGCCTCGATGATCAGCGATAGGGACAAGGGGTTAGTTCCTGCTGCTCGTGAGGTGATGCCAAGTCACATCCCGCATTACTTCTGCGCGTGGCACCTCGAGCAGAATCTGAGGCGGTTCAAGGAGAAGGCGCAGGCCTTTTTTAAAAGGCTGGTGAAGTGCCGTTGCGAGACAAAGTGGAGGCATGCAGACGCGACTTTCCCGAAATGGTGCTTTACCTCTTTGGCCAGGAGGTCCAACTGGCTGCGGACGTTCCCCCTCCACCCGATACACGCCCACGCCCTGACGCGCGCTCTACCTATGCTGGGGAGAGAGCATACGTCTTCGAGGCTGGTCGGGATGGACGACGCATGGCTCGAAACGCGCGCCAAGGAGATGCAACTGCAGGCGCAACTGGCTCCACGCAGCCGGGAAGTGGTTTCGGCGTTCCTGGTGCCGTTAGTGCAAGGTACAACAGGAATGGTGGCGGACTCGCAGGGAGAGGCGGCATGAATGCTCCGAATGCTGAACTGTTCGGCAGAACATTCAGAGGTGGGCCGGGCAGCACGGGTGACGAGTGGGGCCAGGGGAGTGCGGCTTATGGCCATGGTTCAGACGGTGGTACCAGGGGTGGCGGAAGTGGTCGCGGCAGGCAGGGTCCTGGCGCATTCCAGTTCGGGGGTGTTGGTCTAGGGGTGGGAAGTGGGCGCGGCTTCAGAAGGTATGGGACGAGTGGCAGCAGAGGGTTTGGCATAGGGACTGGTGCGAGTGGCGTTCCGCCGCGGTCTGCCGGAACACGCGTTGGGCATGAGACTGGACAGGGTGTCGGCGGGGGTATGAGGGAAGACAGCGCCGGGCAAGGGGGTCACACAGTCGGAGATGAGATGCCAGGGTCTCGTGTGCATGACTACGGGGGAGAGGCTCCATGAGGCTTAGGCAACGACACTGAGGGAATAGGTGACATGGGGTTCGGGACGCAGGAATCCACGGCAAGGATGGGGGGGTTCGGCATGGGAGTGGGGACTGGAGGAGGAAATGGAGGTGTGGGCATGGGAGTGGGGAGTGGAGGAGGGCTTGGCGGCGTGGGCATGGGAGTGTGGACTGGAGGAGGATTTGGGGGTGTGGGCATGGGAGTGGGGACTGGCGCAGGGCTTGGCGGCGTGAGCCTGGGAGTGGGGACTGGAGGAGGATTTGGGGGTGTGGGCCTGGGAGTGGGGACTGGAGGAGGATTTGGGGGTGTGGGCATGGGATTGGGGACTGGAGGAGGGCTTGGGGGCGTGGGCATGGGAGTTGGGACTGCTGGCGTGGGTGTGCAAGTGGGGAGTGGAGGAGGGACTGCTGGTGTGGGTGTGCAAGTGGGGAGTGGAGGAGGGAGTCGTGGTGTGAGTGTGCAGGTGGGGAGTGGAGGAGAGCTTGGTGGTGTGGGTGTGCAAGTGGGGAGTGGAGTAGGGACTGCTGGTGTGGGTGTGCAAGCGGGAAGTGGAGGAGGGAGTCGTGGTGTGAGTGTGCAAGTGGGGAGTGGAGGAGGGCTTGGTGGCGTGGGTGTGCAGGTGGGGAGTGGAGGCGGGACTTGCGGTGTGGGTGTGCAAGTGGAAGGTGGAGGAGGGACTGCTGGTGTGGGTGTGCAAGTGGGGAGTGGAGTAGGGACTGCTGGTGTGGGTGTGCAAGCGGGAAGTGGAGGAGGGAGTCGTGGTGTGAGTGTGCAAGTGGGGAGTGGAGGAGGGACTGCTGGTGTGGGTGTGCAAGTGGGGAGTGGAGGAGGGAGTCGTGGTGTGAGTGTGCAGGTGGGGAGTGGAGGAGGGACTGCTGGTGTGGGTGTGCAAGCGGGAAGTGGAGGAGGGAGTCGTGGTGTGAGTGTGCAGGTGGGGAGTGGAGGAGAGCTTGGTGGTGTGGGTGTGCAGGTGGGGAGTGGAGGCGGGACTGGCGGTGTAGGTGTGCAAGTGGAAGGTGGAGGAGGGACTGCTGGTGTAGGTGTGCAAGTGGGGAGTGGAGGAGGGACTGGCGGTGGGGGCGTTGGAGTGGGGTGTCTCTCCATTTCCGCGGTCTCTCTGGTATGGTGCCCCCTGTACTTGCTCCCTCCAGTGCTGTCCCGGCTGGTTTCGAGTCTGCTCTCTCAGGTACAGCACCCACAGAGACTGCTCTCTCAGGTACCGCACCGGCTGAGGCCTGTCACACCTTCACCCTTGACTCAGGTGCTTCCCGTTGCTTCTTTCGTGACAGTACTGAGCTCACACCGCTTCCTGCACCGGTCCCAGTCTCCTTGGCTGACCCCTCTGGGGGCCCAGTCCTTGCCCAGTCCACCACTGTCCTCCCTTGTCCGGCGGTTCCGTCTGGCTCGTTGTCGGGTTTCCACCTCCCCTCGTTCTCGACGAACCTGGTGAGCAACGCTGTCCTCCAGGATCAGTGGGTTGACACCTTTACCCCTGGCGGACAGCGTGTGGCGATCTGCACGTGCTCCAGGACCGGCCGTCACCTGGCTACGTTTACCCGTCGGCCGGGGTCGAGTCTCTACACACTGACCACTGCGTCTCCTCAGGTCGCTGCTGTCGGTCAGGTGTCTGCGTCAGGTCTGGTAGCCCACGCCTGTGAGTGTCGTTCCCTGTCGCACCAGACTCTTCTCTGGCACCACCGCCTGGGTCACCCCTCCTTGCCACGCCTTCGTGGCATGCACCGTCGCCACCTTGTGTCTGGTCTTCCCAGGTCCCTCCCTCCCCTCCCTGCCTCGCCTGCGCCGCCTTGCCTTCCTTGCGTTGAGGGGCGGCAGCGCGCCGCCCCTCACTCCTCCTCGTTCCCCCCGACAGAGGCTCCTCTGCAGACCCTCCACCTGGACGTGTGGGGCCCAGCCCGCGTTCGTGGTCAGGGCGGTGAGCGGTACTTTTTGCTGGTTGTCGACGACTACTCGCGTTACACCACGGTCTTCCCCTTGCGCACCAAGGGTGAGGTCCCTGCTGTTCTGATCCCTTGGATCCGCACGGTTCGTCTCCAGCTCCGCCGCCGTTTCCGGACGGATCTTCCTGTCCTGCGTCTGCACTCTGACAGAGGTGGTGAGTTTTCCTCCGATCTCTTGAGGACCTTCTGTCAGGCGGAGGGCATCGAGCAGACCTTCACGCTTCCGGACTCCCCACAGCAGAATGGGGTTGCTGAGCGCCGCATTGGCCTGGTCATGGAGGTCGCTCGTACCTCCTTGGTCCACGCGGCGGCTCCCCATTTTCTGTGGCCGTTTGCTGTCCGGTACGCCGCGCATCAGCTCAACCTCTGGCCCCGTGTCTCCTTGCCGGAGACCTCGCCCACACTGCGTTGGACGGGGGAGGTTGGCGATGCGTCGCGCTTCCGGGTGTGGGGTGCTCGTGCCCTTGTCCGCGATACGTCCGCGGACAAGCTCTCCTCCCGCACGCTTCCCTGTGTCTTCCTTGGCTTTGTCCCTGACGCGCCTGGCTGGCAGTTTTACCACCCCACCTCGCGCCGGGTCTTCGCCTCTCAGGATGTCACCTTTGACGAGTCGGTCCCTTTTTACCGTCTCTTCCCCTACCGCACTGCCCCCCTCCCTCCCCCGCCGCTTTTCCTTGCTCCTGGTCCCCCTCCGGTAGACCCCCTTCCCCCTCAGGGTCCTGCTCCTTCAGGTGTCTCTCAGGTAGACCCTCCTCCCGTCGCTGAGCCTGTCGAGTTCACAGGTGACTCAGGTGCTGCTGCGGGTGGTGCTGCTGGGAGTGCTGAGCCTGGGGGTGCTGAGCCTGGGGGTGCTGGGCCTGGGGGTGCTGGGGCTGCAGGTGCTGGGACTGAGGGTGCTGGAGCTGAGGGTACGGTGCCTGAGAGTACGGAGCCTGGGGGTGCTGAGCCTGGGGGTGCTGAGCCTGCGGGTGCGGGGCCTGGGAGTGCTGGGACTACGGGTGCTGGAGCTGAGGGTACTGTGCCTGAGAGTTTGCCGCCTGGGGGTGCTGAGCCTGGGGGTGCTGCGACTGGGGGTGCTGAGCCTGCGGGTACTGAGCCTGCGGGTACTGAGCCTGGGGGTGCTGCTACTGAGCCTACGGAGCCTCGGGTTACTGCGTCTGGGGGTGCTCCGGTTCGGGGTGCTGAGCAGTCTCTCACACCGCAGCAGCTTCGTGACTGGTACGTCCGGCGCTTTCGCCGTCCTAGTGGCTCGGCTGGAGTTTGGGGTGCTGGAGCTGCCGGGACTGGTTGTTCTGGGAGCACTGCGACTGGAGCTGCTGGAGCTGGGGCCTCTGGAGCTGGTGGTGCTAGCGGAGTTGGAGCTGCCGACTCTGGGGGTGGCGCTGCTGCTGGTGCTGCGGACCCGCCTGGTGGAGCTGCTGCTGGAGCTGAGGACCCGAGCGGTGGCGCTGCTGCTGGTGCTGGAGACCCGGACGTTGGAGCTCCTGCTGGTCCTGAGGACCCGGCCGCTGGAGTCTCTTCTGCTTCTGGAGACGCTGCGCGGCCGCGACCGTACTTCGTACCGCTCCTTCAGCAGGTTCTTGGGCAGGCTCCTCCTCCTTGTCCTCCTCCCTCCGTAGAGTGTCCTCCGCCTGTCCAGCCGCAGTCACAGTTACCGCCTGCCTCGCCTCTCCCTGCTCCCTCTCCTTACGCTGGTCCCACAGGAGGTCTTACAGAGCGTCGTGAGCCTGAGTCTCGTCCTGTGTCGCCTGTTCGTCCTGCTCGCACTGGTAGTCGTGTCCGTTGTGAGCGTCCTCCTCCTGTCCCAGGCACTCACTACATGACTCTGCGTCCCTCTACTGCTCCTCGGCGTGTCCCTCTACCGTCTCCTCCTGCGTCCTCTTTGCCTGCCGTTCCGGACCCTGAGTCTGACCGGTATCGCGCTGAGCACCCTACAGTCACGCGTCTCCTCGCTACTGTTGTCACTGACCCTACCTTTGAGTCCTCGGCTGCGTCTGCTCTGGTCGCTGAGTTGGTTGACTTTGCTGCTGCCTGTCGTCTAGACTACGCTGCTAGCCTTGTTGCTGGGTCTGAGTCTGCGTCTGTCTGTCCTCCGTCCGTCGGGGGTGAGTGTGCTCTTAGCACGGACGTCCTTGAGGACAGGCAGGAGGACTTTGACTCTCTTGCGGCTGCTGTACCTCATCTCGTGGCCTGGTTGCTTGCCCCTGAGGGAGACCCGGATGCACTAGACATCCCCACTCCGCGCACTTACGCAGAGGCGATCTCGGGTCCCTACTCCTCTCAGTGGCAGACAGCCATGGACGCAGAGATGGCATCCTGGAAGTCCACAGGCACCTACGTCGACGAGGTTCCCCCTCCTGGGGCGAACATCGTCGATGGCATGTGGATTTTCAGGGTGAAGCGGCCGCCAGGTTCTCCGCCTGTCTTCAAGGCTCGTTACGTTGCTAGAGGCTTCAGTCAGCGTCAGGGGGTCGACTTCTTCCAGACCTTCTCCCCCACCCCGAAGATGACCACTCTTCGGGTTCTGCTGCACGTTGCTGCTCAGCGTGACTACGAGCTTCACTCTCTTGACTTCAGCACAGCGTTCCTGCAGGGTAGCCTGCACGAGGAGATCTGGCTGCGCCGCCCACCTGGCTTTACTGGGTCGTTTCCCCCTGGTACCCAGTGGAGTCTCCGCCGGCCAGTCTACGGTCTCCGCCAGGCGCCACGTGAGTGGCACGACACACTGAGGACTACACTTGCGGCTCTTGGGTTCGCGCCGTCTACTGCTGACCCGTCGCTGTTTCTGCGCACAGACACGTCGCTGCCGCCGTTCTACATTCTCGTGTACGTCGACGACTTGGTCTTTGCTATTGCTGACACTGAGGCACTCGCTCGTGTGAAGTCGGAGCTGCAGAAGAGACACACCTGCACTGACCTGGGTGAACTGCGTAGCTACCTTGGCTTGCAGATCACCCGGGACAGAGCTCGCCGCACCATCACACTGACTCAGTCACACATGGTGCAGCAGGTCCTTCAGCGCTTCGGCTTCCAGTTCTCCTCACCACAGGCCACACCTCTGGCTACCAGCCACTCGCTCTCAGCTCCACCTTCGGACGAGTCCGTAGAGCCGAGTGGCCCGTACCCAGAGCTTGTAGGCTGCCTCATGTACCTGATGACTTGCACGCGACCTGACCTCGCGTACCCACTTAGCATCCTTGCTCGTTACGTTGCGCCTGGGAGACACAGGCGAGAGCACTGGGAGGCTGCTAAGAGGGTGCTGCGTTACTTGTGCAGTACATCAGGCATGGGGCTGGTGCTTGGAGGACGCGACAGAGTTGTCCTCACTGGTCACTCGGACGCTTCTTGGGTGGACGACCTGGCTACGCAGCGGTCGTCACAGGGTTACACCTTCAGCCTTGGCTCTGGTTCTGTCTCGTGGCGGTCCACCCGCTCTTCCTCTGTTCTCGGCTCTAGTTGTGAGGCTGAGATCTACGCCACAGCCATGGCTGCACAGGAGTTACGCTGGCTCACCTACCTGCTGACTGACTTGGGAGAGCGGCCTAGTTCTCCTCCAGTTCTGTACGGTGACAACAAGGCGGCTCTTGCCTTGTGTCAGGAGCACAGACTGGAGCACAGGACGAAGCACATTGCTCTTCGCTACTTTCTTGCTCGAGAGCTTCAGCAGCGCGGTCAGCTTCGGCTTGTGTACGTGGACTCGAAGGCCAACACTGCTGATATCTTCACCAAGGCGCTCCCGCCTAGTGATCATCAGCGGCACTGTACTTCTTTAGGCCTTGTGTCCACGTTTCCTCACTTGCTCACTGCTTGACATTCTTTGTACTGTACTTTATATATATCTTGTTGCTTGCTTGCTAGGTTTTGATCACTGTGTTGCTTGTCTTGTACTATATCTAGCACTGCATGTGAACTGGCCTTGTGGCCTTTACTTGTGCTCGGAGTGTGGTGACGTTGTGATCCACCCTGGGCTTTGCTTTGCTTTGCTGGACTGGTCTTGTGACCCTTTGTTCTCCCCCACTTTGCCTATGGGGGTATGTCAAACTGTATTATGCTTGTAGGCTGTAGTGGGGTAGCCAATATGGGGTACAACCCCAACTAGGGTTTCATATTTGTACCCAAACTTCTGCTAGTTCATCATTCTTGCCTAGCTATTCTGAAATGGGGAGTGTCGAATGGGCTCCTATAGCAGGAATGCCCGGCTACAATGTGGGAATGGGCTCTGGAACAGGGGGGGGCTTTCGTTACGCTAACGTAGGCATGGGATGGGTGAGCGGGGATGTGGATGTAGGGTTGGGTTTAGGCATCAATCACAGTGGGCAGAGCCTTAGTGTGGTGGTGGGGAACGCGGATGCCAGGGTGGGAAGGGAGCCAAGGGTGGCACCGGAGATTATTGAATATCCCGTAGCCGAAGAGGGGAGGGGTGATGCTGGGCATTCTGGCAACGGAGTCCCCACTGGTGTGTCCCCAGAGTCCACGCGCCCCGGTGGGCCGTTCAACCCGGCGGGAAATGGGCGAAATTCACGTCAACCATACAGCGCCAACGCGATCGATACCGGAGTCAACGATGAACCGCCACGCCGGCGACTACGCGATTGGCGCTCTTCTGCGTTTGACGAGGACGGTGGGGACGAGTTGCATGCTGGCCTCACGCAGGTTTTGTCACTGCCGTGGCCTGATACCGAGGCTAGTGGGGATGCTCAGCATGCTGGGACTGATGAGCCTGGATTTGAGGGGGAGGATGACCCGGAGCCAGACGGTGCAGATAATTGGGATGATGAGGAGGGAGGCATTAGCGTTCAGACGGGATTCCATCGCAACAGGATGGGATCGCGATACAGAATTGGAGGAATCCAACTACTGCACTGGGCTCGTTTGTTCGCACCCACCCGTCGATACGGGATATACACGAGCAACGCAGCGGAGACGAAGAAAATCCGGATGCTGCCCCCCAACGTGGTTGCTGGCGTCATTGTGGGACTGGTTCAGGGACAAGTGGGTTGAGCGTTACGAGGCAGCGTGGCGAAGGGACGAGCTGCTGACAGAGGCAGCGGCCACTAGGATGCTGGTCAAGCGCACGAGGGCACAGGAGTACTGGTTTTTGGGAGGCACCAACGAAGCCGGGACAATCCAGACTCGGGGCGGGGAAAACGAGATTGAATGGAGAAGTTACAACGTCAACCTTGTCACCCTGAATGTTTAGAGTCTCATTTAAAATTTTCTGCAATCCTGACCATCACAAGTATTTATAGGATAGAGAGACTATTTATTATCCAACTGAAGGCTGCAGAGTCCGGGTCTTTAATGCACCTCTTTAAAAAAAGGGATACACGCTACATATTTCTAACTTGAGAAGGCCTCAAGGACAATCCAGACCATCATGAGTCGTGGGTTTAGGTTTAACGACAATTCCCTCGATTGGCTTCTTGTTACTGCTGCGCAATCTGAAACACCACTGACAGTTCCCTAATGTCGGCTCACGAACCCACTCGTGGGTCTCGTGAAGACTTAACGCGTGCTCGTGTCGCCCACGAAATTCCACGATAGACATGTCCGTTGTCTAGTGAAATGGCTCGCACGTTCATGGGGTCTGACGCCTGCAATCACGAAGCATCACGCGATTTCACGAGGCTGTGTCTTTCTTTCACTGGATTTCGTGCAACCAAGGTGCGTACACACAGATTTCCGGCATAGTGGGCCTCGTGTTCGTGGTAACATGGCTGTGCAACATTCCATTTTTTTTTCTCTATGAGTAGATCCATTAATTGTGTTACAAAAAAAATTCAAATACTGCAGCACGGTACACGCGATGTGAAATTCACGAAAGACGAGGAGGTGGCACTAAGATCCCCCCCCCCCCCCGAAACAAATAAAAAACCATGGCAACCGACACGTACAAAAGCCTACATGACTCTGGAGGGAGTGTGTGATCATTACAAACCCGCCAACACAGGGTTTCAGAAAATGTGTTGAACATAATGGTGGGTATTTTATTATTTTGTGTCGCACTCAGCCTTTCATACGCTCTATATGAGCGGCTGCGGTACTGGTAATCATGGTGCGCCGTTATGAAGTGACGCGCAATAGAGTGCCTTGGGGAATATTATGATAGCCTTTCGGTTATCCCAACACGCCAGCTTACACATCCTCAAACGACAACGCCCGTGTAGATAAAAACATCAAAAATCATGTCACCATTCACCTGTTCATGACACGATAAGATTCTGGTGACCAAAGCCCTGCAAAGTTGGGTCATAGGGACAATATCACAAAAGGTCTTGTGTGGTTGTTTTTGCCACGTGTTTGAATATGTGGCTGTACGAATAACCACAAGGTTATCATAGCATTTCAGAAGAATCTCCACTCGCCTGTTACTAATATTCTCCACTCGTGCGTCACAAGGTTATGACTCTCCACTTTGGGAACTTACCTCATTGTGTATATGGATAGCTAGGATCGCAATATATATTATTGTCGTGGCACACAGTTGATTGGTAGTGGTTGGCCGTCGGCTTTAAAAAAAGGGTGAATGGCGAAACGGGTGTATCTCAAGATGTCCAACATGCAAAAGAACGGTTCAACAATTAGGTGTTGCACAATCTAACAATTGAATATGCTGACCAGATACTATAGGTGTCAGAAATAACTGAGCAGGAATGGGATGAACTAGCACAGAGTTTGGTACAAGTAGGAAACCCTAACTTTGAGTACCCCCTAAGGTGTAACCCACTACAGCCTACATAATATAAACATGCAATGTTTGACACACCCCCATAGGTGCAGTGGGAGACAACCACAGGGTCACAAGACCAGTCAAAGCAAAGCAAAGCAAGCTCAGGGTGGATCTCAAGGATTCCACACAAATTCCGAGCACAAGCAAGCGGTCACAAGACTAGTTCACATGCAGGTTTATAACAAAGCAAGAGATACAGTGATCACAACCTAGCAAAAGTAAACAAGTAGGCATATATATATAGTGATCACAGTACAAGCAAGGTCAAGAGGTAAGCAAGTGAGGCCCAGTAGGTACAAGGCCTAGCAGAGTGCAAAAGCGCTGATGGTCACAAGGCTGAAGCGCCTTGGTGAACACATCAGCAGTGTTGGCCTCCGTGGCCACGTAACGCAGACAAAGCTGACCACGCTGCTGCAGCTCTCGAGCAAGGAAGTACCGCAGAGCGATGTGCTTCGTTCTGTGCTCCAGTCTGTGCTCCTCACACAAGGCAATGGCAGCCTCGTTGTCGACGTACAGCACTGGAGGAGAACGAGGCCGCTCTCCGAGGTCGGTCAGCAGGTAGGTCAGCCAGCGTAGCTCCTGAGCAGCCATGGCTGTGGCGTAGATCTCAGCCTCACAACTGGAGCTGAGAACAGAAGAAGAGCGAGTAGAACGCCAAGAAACTGAGCCAGAGCCAAGGCTGAAGGTGTAACCCTGGGACGACCGCTGAGTAGCCTGGTCGTCTGCCCAAGAAGCGTCTGAGTGCCCTGTGAGAACAACCCGGTCTCGCCCTCCAAGCACAAGCCCCATGCCCGACGTACTGCACAAGTAGCGCAACACCCTCTTAGCAGCATCCATGTGCTCCTTCCGGTGACGGCCAGGAGCGACATAGCGTGCTAGGATGCTAAGAGGGTATGCAAGGTCAGGACGAGTGCAGGTCATCAGGTACATGAGGCAGCCCACAAGCTCTGGATACGGGCCACTCGGCTCTACGGACTCATCCGAAGGCAGAGCTGAGAGCGAGTGACCGGTAGGCAGAGGAGTGGACTGAGGCGAGGAGTACGTGAAGCGGAAGCGCTGGAGAACCTGCTGCACCATGTGTGACTGAGTCAAGGTGATGGTGCGCCGTGCTTTGTCCCGGGTGATCCGCAAGCCAAGATAGCTCGTCAGCTCACCCAGGTCTGTGCACGTGTGTCTCCTCTGCAGCTCCGACTTCACGTGAGCGAGTGCCGCGGTGTCAGCAGTGGCAAAGACCAAGTCGTCGACGTACACGAGGATGTAGAACGGCGGCAGCGAGGTGTCGGTGCGTAGAAACAGCGACGGGTCAGCAGTAGAGGGAGCGAACCCAAGAGCCGCAAGTGTCGTCCTCAGTGTGTCGTGCCACTCACGTGGCGCCTGGCGGAGACCGTAGACCGGCCGCTGAAGCCTCCACTGGGTGCCAGGAGGAACTGACCCAGTGAAGCCAGGGGGGCGGCGCAGCCAGATCTCCTCGTGCAGGCTGCCCTGCAAGAAAGCAGTGCTGAAGTCAAGAGAGTGAAGCTCGTAGTCGCGGTGAGCGGCTATGTGCAGCAGCACCCGAAGAGTAGTCATCTTCGGGGTGGGGGAGAAGGTCTGAAAGAAGTCTACTCCCTCTCGCTGACTGAAGCCTCGAGCCACGTAGCGCGCCTTGAAGACAGGTGGAGAACCCGGCGGCCGCTTCACCCTGAAAATCCACATGCCACTGACGATGTTCGCCCCAGGAGGGGGAACCTCGTCTACGTAGGTGCCTGTGGACTTCCAGGAGGCCATCTCTGCGTCCATGGCTGTCTGCCACTGAGAGGAGTAGGGACCCGCCATCGCCTCAGCGTAAGAGCGTGGGGTCGGGATGTCTGGTGCATCCGGGTCTCCCTCAGGGGCAACTAGCAAGGACACGAGACGGGGCAAAGCAGCAGCAAGGCAGTGGAACTCCTCCTGTCTGTCCTCAAGGACGTCCGTGCCGAGGGCACACTCACCCCCGACGGACGGAGGACAGGCAGACACAGACTCAGACCTAGCGACAAGGCTGGCAGCGTAGTCTAGGCGACAGCGAGCAGCAAAGTCAACCAACTCAGCGACCAGAGCAGACGCAGCAGAGGACTCAAAGGTCGGGTCAGTGACAACTGTAGCGAGGAGACGCGTAACAGTGGGACTGGCAGCACGACAGGAGTCAGACTCCGGGTCAGGAAGAGTAGGAAGAGAGGACGCAGGAGGAGACGGCAGCGGGACACGCTGCGGAGCAGTGGAGGGACGCAGAGTCATGTAGTGAGTGCCAGGGACAGGAGGAGGACGCTCACGTGGGACACGACGACCAGTGCGAGCAGTACGAACAGGCGACGCAGGACGAGACTCAGGCTCACGACGCTCTGTAAGACCTCCTGTGGGACCAGCGTAAGGGGAGGGAGCAGGGAGAGGCAAGGCAGGCGGTAACTGTGACTGCGGCTGGACAGGCAGAGGACACTCGACGGAGGGAGGAGGACTAGGAGGAGGAGCCTGACCAAGAACCTGCTGAAGGAGCGGTACGAAGTACGGTCGCGGCCGCGCAGCGTCTCCAGAAGCAGCAGGGACACCAGTGGCAGCCCCAACGCCCGAGTCCTCAGCACCAGCAGCAGCTCCAACGCCCGGGTCCTCAGCACCAGTAGGAGCTCCAACGCCCGAGTCCTCAGCACCAGCAGCAGCGCCACCGGTCGGGTCCTCAGCACCAGCAGCAGCTCCACCGCCCGGGTCCTCAGCACCAGCAGCAGGGCCACTGGTCAGGTCCTCAGCACCAGCAGCAGCGCCACCGGTCGGGTCCTCAGCACCAGCAGCAGCTCCAACGCCCGGGTCCTCAGCACCAGCAGCAGCTCCAGCCCCCGGGTCCTCAGCACCAGCAGCAGCTCCAGCGTCCGGGTCCTCAGCACCAGCAACAGCACCACCGCTCGGGTCCGCAGCACCAGGAGCACCACTACGAAGACTGCAGCGCCGCGTGTACCACTCGCGGATCACCTGAATGGGGGGGAGCTCCTGGGTAGGAGGGGAAGTACCGGGACGAGCTCCAGAAGCACCTCTCCGGAGGCGGCAGTACTCGAGGTACCTCTCCTGCAGCTGCTGGGAGGAGAGGGCTCCTCCAGGTGGAGCACGCTCAGGCTCAGCACCCCCAGACTCAGCACCCCCAGACTCAGCACCCCCAGTCTCAGCACGTCCAGACTCAGCACCCCCAGGCTCAGTACCTCCAGGCTCCGCACCTCCAGGCTCCGCACCTCCAGGCTCAGCACCCCCAGGCTCCGCACCCTCAGAC